GTTGCGTTGAATTAGTGATAAACAGGGTCTGACTCACCGCAGCAGTGGGTTGTGAGTTCCATCCAAGTTTCTTCTCCAGCTGCCCGAATGATACCCCTGGCATGTCCTGTGCACACAAGAACAACCCACAGGAGCAGGAGCACAAGAGTGCACACCTCCATGTGTTCATAAGGTGAATTTCTGAGTTGAATTAAATTTCGTTTTTTTTTTTTTAGTCGGACAAAAACTTGTTTCCTACAGTGTGTGCACAAGAAAACAGTTCCACGGCCTTGAGACATCTCAAAACCGTATCCCACCCCTTATAACCCTTCGGCTCCACCTTACCTTCTCCACCAGCAAACACAATATCCCCTTGGGCCCCTCCCCAACAGTTCGCGCCATCACAATATACACATCAGCAGCCCATCATTTTTCTAGGCACATAAAAAATAGACTACCTGTCTGTCTGTGCCATAACTACATACACATCAGCCGCACACCTTTTGCTGTACCCCCACCGCCTCACCCCTTGCCATCCAAACTCCTACCTTCTCCACCCGAAAGCACGATATCCCCTTTGGCCCCTCCCTGTCTCTGCGCGCCCTCACGACAACTGAACACCACACTTTGCCCCTCCACTTACCCCACCTTACCTTCTCCACAAGAGAGCACGATATCCCCTTTGGCCATGTACCCCACATTACCCACACCACTCCTTCTAACCCCTCAGCACCCACCTTCTCCACCAGGAAGCACGATATCCCCTTGGGCCCCTCCCCGTCTGTCCGCGCCATCACCACCATGTGCACCCTTTGAGACGTCTCAAAGTACCCACACCATCCCTTCGCCCCGTGACTTGCCATACACACTCCTACCTTCTCCACCAGAAAGCACGATATTCCCTTGGGCCCCTCTCCGTCTGTGCGAGCCATCACCACATACACATCAGCAGCCGTTGCTCCACTGATGAACGCCTGGGGAATAAGAGTGGGGGGAGAAAGGCGAATGGGGGAGGGCGGTGAGCAAGGCAGGAAAATGCACCAATGCCTTTTTCCCCTCCCCATCTGCCCGAGCCATCACCACATACACATCAGCCGCCGTGGCTCCACTGATGCACGCCTGGGGTATCAGGAATGAGGGGGAGAGAGGGAGCGTGAGGAGGATCCGTATTGAGGTTGGGGGAAAATCTCTTTTCCTCTTCCCCGTCTGTGCGAGCCATTACCACATACACATCAGCGGCCGTGGCTCCACTGATAAACGCCTGGGAATGAGGGGGAGAAAGAGAGCATACGGAAAGCGGGAGAGGGCAGTGAGTAAGGCAGGGAATGGCACCAATGCCTTTTCCCCCTCCCTGCCTGTCCGAGCCATCACCACATACACATCAGCAGCTGTTACTCCACTGACGCACGCCTGGGAGGGACACGAGAGAGGGGAGACAAGAGGTGAGACAAGAGGTGAGAAAGGAGGTGAGAACGGAGGTGAGAAAGATGTGAGAAAGGAGGTGAGAAAGGAGGATCAGTTGAGAGTTGGGGGCGGGGCGGCAGGGAGGCAGGGAGGCAGGGCGGCAGGGAGGCAGGGAGGGCGGTACCTTGGATCCATTCAGAATGTAATCCGTGGAGCCAGGGGCCTGCCTCGCCGTGGTCTGTAGTGGTGGAATTGGGTTCATTAACATTACCAAGGAGAACGATGGGGACAAAAACGTAAAGAGATAAGAAAGCGCACACAACAGGTGGAGAAGTCACAGAGACACATGAACTCATTTGAGACAACCAGGATCATGGTATGTTGCCACGCCAAGCCATGCCATGCCATCGCATCCCCATGCCATGCCATAACATGCCATACTGTGCCATACCACCCGGTCCCCATGTGTCACCTTGAGAGCAGCAGCATCACTGCCACTGCCTGGTTCCGTGAGGCAGTAGGAGGAGAGCAGGTCCTGCTCGTGCACATAGAGGCACATAGCGGGCGGTACAGAGTGGTTCACGGGGGTGACGGGAGGTGCAATGCCATACCACCCAGTCCTCATCTCTCACCTTGAGAGCAGCAGCATCACTGCCGCTGCCAGGTTCCGTGAGGCAGTAAGAAGAGAGCAGGTCCTGCCCATGGGATGCCATGCCATACCGTACCGTACCACACCACACCATGCCATACCATCCAGCTCCCATCTCTCACCTTGAGAGCAGCAGCATCACTGCCGCTGCCAGGTTCCGTGAGGCAGTAAGAAGAGAGCAGGTCCTGCCATACCGGAGGGAAGGAGAGAACAAGTGCATGGAAGGCTGGTGTTAATGATGCGATGGGATGGCAATACAGAGCAGTTAAATGCGGTGGAATGCGGTGCCACCCACCCACCATTGTTGCCAGCGGTGGTAGCCATTTTTGCCGCTGCTCCTCCGACCCGAACCTGATTGATCACACACATGCCAGAATTGCAATGGGTGAGTAAGGGAGAAAAAAACACTCTTACTATCCCACACATACCCATCCCTGCCACGTCATCATGCCCAACCCTGCCACGTCAGCCCAATCCCGCCACGTCAGCCCAATCCTGCCACGTCATCACCTCCTTCGCCCACCTGTCGATGATGCTCGCATTCATGTTGTGGATCGTCAGGTACGCCGTCGTGCTGACGTCAGCATGCGCCAACGCCTCAAACACCACCGCCCCGTCGGCCCGGCCCAACCTGCTCATGACACGTGGCAGGGGGAGCAGAAAGGATGACACACGTGGCAGGAGAAAGAATGAGACACGGGCGGCAGATAATTCATAGCCTGGTATACCCGCAGTCAGCCTTGCAATGTATACCAGCCATACAGCAACCCAACTCACCCCGAGCCCCCCACATCTTCTTTCACAAAGAGAGCAGCAAAGCCCAGCCCCGCTGCCCTGCGCAGCACGTCCACTGGGAAGTGCTTCTGGTGTGTTGTGCCTTGCCCCATGCAATCAGCGTGGGATTTCATAACAGCCATGCAGCAAGCCAACTCACTCCGACCCCCCCACGTCCTCCCTGACGAAGAGAGCGGCGAAGCCCAGCCCTGCTGCCTTGCGCAGCACGTCCACTGGGAAGTGCTTCCTGATACAAGCATTCCAGTCAATCCCAGTGACCCTATAACCCCAACTCACCACCGCTCACCCCAGCTCACCCAGCAACACCACTCACCCCCCCACGTCCTCTTTCACGAACAGAGCAGCGAAGCCCAGCCCTGCTGCCTTCCGCAGCACGTCCACTGGGAAGTGGTGCTGCTGCTATGTGGCGCCTTCACAACTGGACCACTCACCCCACCTCACCCCACCTCCCCCCAGCACACACACCAACGCCACTCACCCCGAACCCCCCACGTCCTCCTTGACAAAGAGAGCAGCGAAGCCCAGCCCTGCCGCCTTGCGCAACACGTCCACTGGGAAGTGCTTCCGCTCGTCCCACTCTGCTGCGCGTGGCAGCAGCTCATTGGCTGCGAAGTCCTGCTCGCACGGGGGGATGGAGAGGGGAAGCGGGGGAGGTGAAAGAGGGGCAGGAGGGGAAAACGGGGAGGGGAAAGGGGGAAGAAGGCAAGGTTAGGTGTGCAGGGAAGTACACGTGGACGCGTGAGGCACCAGCGCGTGGACGCGTGAGGCACCAGCGCGTGGACGCGTGAGGCACCAGCGCGTGGACGCGTTAGGCACCAGCGCGTGGACGCGTCGACTGAAACACCTTGAGATACCCGGTGTCCATTCCACAACCACAGCTGAATGCATAGTTCCTTCCGTGACAAGCGCAGAAGCGCACGAGTTCACGTCAGCGAGGCCGTCAACTCAGGTTCACCTGAGCCAAGGCGCGGAAATCGAGCTGGTGGGGGGAGAGGCCGTGCGAGGAGGTTATGGACGGGTGCGCTCCAGCCGTGGACGCGTCGACTGCGCCGTCTGGCGGCGACGAGGCGGCAGCGGTGGGGGACGCGGCGAAGGGTGCGGAAGACGCGGCGGAGAAAGCGGAGGAGCAGGGGGGGAAGGCGGAGAAAGCGGAGCAGGAAGCGGAGGCAGGGGAGGAGGCGGAGTGATACAAGGCGGAGGACAGCGGTGGGGGGATTAATGATATCGAATGATTGAGTTCGCGTCGCGAAGGGTTGCAAAGTGCTGGCGACGGGCTGCGAAACGCTGGCGACGCTCGTCGCAGCAGCTGAACCACGGAGTGGCGCGCCATCGAGGGTTGCTGCTACCAGCGGTGGGTGAATTACCGCTCGTTTCTGAATTAATCCTCTCAGGACAGAACGCTGCTGGGTTCACGATCGTAAATTGGTACTTCGGCTTATACGAGCAATCAGTGATAAAAATATGCGGCTCGACGGTCACGGAAGATGACGGGTAATTGGTTATGCCGCTAGGCTCTAGTCTCGCGCGAGCCACGGGCACGAGCAGCGCGCGTCGTTGGCGAATTGTTGAAGGAGAAGCTACTACGAGCAACGCGGGACGAGGACTCGTGTCTCGTGACAGGAAAGCTTAGCGCAAGACCAAAATCTATAATGCCATCGTGAATTTCGAGAATAAATCAGCTGGGATGTGTGTGTGTTCCTAGAGGCTTGGTAGGACTTCTGCCCGAATCCGAAGCTCCCTGCGTTTGGTTTGACGAAACCGTAGCCACGTTCCCTCTTCGGGAAAGCAGTTTCAGGCCAATAAGATACGGCCAAGCGTTTGCGAATTTGTCGCGAAACATATGAGAGGTTTGGTAACGACGTATGGTGTGACAGGTACTTGCGAACCTGACAGTGTCGCTCTTTTTCTACTGACATCACAATGTCCTCTGAAGCGTGGATCTGACGCTAACCACGTCAGATGTTACGTGAAAGGAGTTGACCAATGGTATGCGAGCTCGATACCCGCAGTCCGATACTCCCTGAATACTGAAGCATTCAAATACTGAATATTTATGATTACGAATCAGCATTATTACACTTTAAAACTAAAAGGTTTCCAAGCAGACTCCCTGGTTCGTACCAGTATTACAATTTTCAGTGCACTTGTATGCACCGCATGCAGCAAAACAATCCTAGCTCCAGTCCTTGGCGAGAAGCCCCAAATACAAAGCAAGCTGGCTGCCCACCAGTAGCGTAAGCGGCCCTATCGCCCGCAGCAAGCGAAGTATAGCAATCTTGGGCGTTAGGTTCGCCCCCTTTGCAATCGTCGCCATTAACCCATCGCCTCCTGATTCACCGCCACCACCACCTCCGGATGCTGTAGCACCGTCTCTTGAGACGTCTGTGAATGATCCGATTCGAGGAACTCCGGAACTGCCACCAGCGTCCATTAACGAATCATGCGACCCCTGTTGCCGGGAGGCCCTTAGCTGTGCCCCGCCGGGTCTGAAATGGAATCAAAAGCAGGAGACAAGATGCATAGAAGTTGGTTGATGATCATGCAAGCAGAGAGGCGTAACAAGGTCTTCACAGACTGCACACCTGGTAGCACCTGGTAGCACCTGGTAGCACCTGGTAGCACCCGATAGCACCTGAAGTTTCATCTCTACAAGCACAACTGAAGAGACATGGGAACTCACCTTCTATCAGACGTGACTGAAGAGGGCATAGTGTCGGGCAGCCTCGGAGTCGCCCTCCTGACAAGCACCATGTTGCCGTCCGTGTCAAACATGGGCTCTAGCTCGCCCTCCTAATCCCCATCCCACGGCCCACGGCCAACTCACCTCCTATCGGAGGAGATGGAGGAAGGCATGGTGTCAGGCAGTCTGGGAGTCGCCCTCCTTACAAGCACCATGTTGCCATCCGTGTCAAACATGGGCTCCAGCTCGCCCTCCCAATCCCCATCTGCCTTCAGCTTGGGGAGTGTCCACGCCTCTTTGCTCGCTGCTGCCACACGTGCTGCCAGCGCTGCCAGGGACGCCCAGGAGACGCCTCGGGAGGGCAGCAGGAGGAAAGCTAGGCAGGAGAGCAGCGAGAGGAGGAAATACCTGGGGGTGGGGGGGGTGTGCAACGGAGAGAGGGGGGAGAGGAAAGCAGGGAAGACAGGGGGAAGATGTGCCCATCTGCCTTGAGCTTGGGGATGGTCCATGCCTCTCTGCGCGCTGCTGCCACGCGCGCTGCCAGCGCTGCCAGCCAGGGACGCCCAGGAGACGCCTCGCGAGGGCAGCAGGAGGAAGGCGAGGCAGGAGAGAAGCGAGAGGAGGAAGTACCAGGGGAGAAAAAGAGAGAAGGGAGGGAGTCGGGGAGGGGGGCGGAAGGAGAGCAGTGGGGAGCGGGAAACCAGGGAGGAACCACAAACGTTGAGACTAGTGAAGCAGAAAAAACATGGAACACAGAAATCTGGAAAAGGTACAACATGCGTGCTGGGAACGAGCAGCACAGGTAACCTGGTATTTCCAGGGAGGGAAGAGGATCTGTGTGGGCAGCACACACAGCTGTACGTGCACTGACGCTGCCCCCAGCGTTGGTTTCTGCTGCTGGATGTGCCACTGCTGGCTGTGCTGGTGATTCTGGTGGTTCTAGTGGAGAGAGACACCATGCCTGCTGGGAGAGAGCGACATGACTAACACGGTCTTACCAGGGAGGGAAGAGGATCTGCGTGGGCAGCACACACAGAGCTGTACGTGCTTTTGAGGCGCCTTACAGGTCCTACGGGTCTCCTCTACAGGGGTCTTTTGAGGCACCTAAAAAAGTACGGTGGGCCTTACCAGGGGGGAAAGAGGATCTGCGTGGGAAGCACACACAGCTGTACGTGCACTGACGCTGCCCCTAGCGTTGGCTTCTGCTGCTGCCCCTGCTGCTCCTTGTCGCTTCCGTGAGGGTGGTGGTGGTCGAGGGGAACGGTGATGAGCAGGAATGCAGGCGGGTCGGTGATGGCGTGTGTGCTGTGGATGAAGTTGAAGGTTGGGAGAGACAGCTGCACACACACAGGGAGGAGAGGGGGGAGTGTTGGAAGAAGGCAGGGGACACGGCAATTGATAGGCAACACGCTGAGACACACACAGGCAGGCGGGTCGGTGATGGCGTGTGTGCTGTGGATGAAGTTGAAGGTTGGGAGGGAGAGCTGCACACACACACGGGCGGCAGGGAGGAGTGATTGGAAAAGACAGGGAAGACGAGAAGTTTTCATTTGCGGTCGCAAACAGGCGGGCGGGTGGGTGGGTGATGGTGCGTGTGCTGTGGATGAGGTAGAAGGTTGGGAGGGAGAGCTGCACACACACAGGGGAGGAGAGGGAGGAGTGATTAAGAGAAGGCAGGGGACACGGTGATTGGGAGGCTACACAGAGGCAGGAGGGTGGGAGATGGCATGTCGCTGTAAATAGAGTTGAAGGTGGGGAGGGGTGGGTGTGCATGTGAGGATTCTACTTCTGCGAGGTGACTTTTGAGTCGACTCAAAAGTCACCTTGAAGGTGGGGAGGGGTGGGTGTGCATGTGAGGATTCTACTTCTGCGAGGTGACTTTTGAGTCGACTCAAAAGTCACCTTGAAGGTGGGGAGGGGTGGGTGTGCATGTGAGGATTCTACTTCTGCGAGGTGACTTTTGAGTCGACTCAAAAGTCACCTTGAAGGTGGGGAGGGGTGGGTGTGCATGTGAGGATTCTACTTCTGCGAGGTGACTTTTGAGTCGACTCAAAAGTCACCTTGAAGGTGGGGAGGGGTGGGTGTGCATGTGAGGATTCTACTTCTGCGGCACCAAAGAAAAAAGGTGGCGGCGAGTCACTCCCAGCAATAGCGTTGTTCTCTCTGGGCGTCGCCTCTTCCTGCCGCTGCTGCCAGCAGGTGGCCTCTGCATGCCCTAACTGACACCCAAGCTGCTGTTCCCCACCTCCCAAACCACCACACCCTACCCCAAACGCACCTCGATCACGTCCCAAGCAGCAGCACCCGAGCTGCTGTTCCTTCTGGGCGTCCCCCCCACCTGCCGCCGCTGCCAGCACGTGGCCTCTGCATGGCCTGACACCCGCTTCCCCAATCCCCCCCCTCACTCACCTCAATGACGTTCCACGAGCCACGGCCACCCGAGCTGCTGTTCCCTCTGGCCGTACCTTCCACCTGCCGCCGCTGCCAGCAGGTCGCCTCTGCATGGCCTGACACCACCAGAGCCTGTGGGGGTGGGAGAGAGAGAGTAGGGGTGTGAGGAGACGTGTGGGAAATCAGTGTCTTCAGACGCCTTCACACCTGCCGCCGCTGCCAGCAGGTCGCCTCTGCATGGCCTGACACCACCAGAGCCTGTGGGGGTGGGAGAGAGAGAGTAGGGGTGTGAGGAGACGTGTGGGAAATCAGTGTCTTCAGACGCCTTCACACCTGCCGCCGCTGCCAGCAGGTCGCCTCTGCATGGCCTGACACCACCAGAGCCTGTGGGGGTGGGAGAGAGAGAGTAGGGGTGTGAGGAGACGTGTGGGAAATCAGTGTCTTCAGACGCCTTCACACCTGCCGCCGCTGCCAGCAGGTCGCCTCTGCATGCCCTGACACCACCAGAGCCTGTGGGGGTGGGAGAGAGAGAGTAGGGGTGTGAGGAGACGTGTGGGAAATTAGTGTCTTCAGACTCCTTCACACCTGCCGCCGCTGCCAGCACGTTGCCTCTGCATGGCCTGACACCACCAGAGCCTGTGGGGGTGGGAGAGAGAGAGAGTAGGGGTGTGAGGAGACGTGTGGGAAATCAGTGTCTTCAGACGCCTTCACACCTGCCGCCGCTGCCAGCACGTTGCCTCTGCATGCCCTCACACCACCAGAGCCTGTGAGAGGAGCGTCAGGAAGGGAGAGTGGGATCAAGGGATGGGAAGGGTGTATCTTAAGGCCTCACATGCCTGAAGCCCTGCCTACCAGCAGGTGGCCTCTGCGTGCCCTGACTGACACCACCAGAGCCTGTGGGTTTGGAAGAGCGGGTGTGAGAGAAGGGACGTGAGGAGAGACTGAATGAGGAAACGGATGGGGAGGGTGGGCCTTCAGACGCCTTCCCACCTGCCGCTGCTGCCAGCAGGTGGCCTCTGCATTCCCCTCGTGTTTCCTTCGCCTTGCCAAGTTATAAGACGCCTCACGAATTGATTTTCGAGCCATAAGCCAACTCTTGTTCTCTCTACTCCTCGTTTCTGTGTTTTCTACTCTACTCCTCGTTTCTCTCTAGCACTCCACTTCTCCCTCCGCTTCTCCCCTTTCCCCATGTTTTTCGGGGCACTATTGCCCTACCCTCCTTTTATTTCCTCAATCTTCCCATTCTCCATATCCCCCCAATTTCTCCATTCTCCCGAATTTCAATCCTCCTATGTCCGCAGCACATGCACTTACGGGTCTGAGAAGCTGCAGCAGGTGGTTTGACCCTTCTTTTGATATGGCACCCTGATACCTGAAGGGGTGAAAGGGGGAGAGGGGGACGGGGAGAGGCCAGAGAGGCGACTTTTGAGTTGACCCATGCGTCAGCTGCAGCAGGTGGTTTGACCCTTCTTTTGATATGGCACCCTGATACCTGAAGGGGTGAAAGGGAGAATGAATATTACTTTGCGTGTGAAGGAGGGGACAAGAAGAGGAGCGAACGGTCAACGCTGTGCAGGCATCAGTGATGAGTGTGAATGAGTGAGTGTGTGTGAGTAAACGGTTGTGAGTGTGAGTGTGCAGTGAGAGTGAGGGAGAGAGGGAGAGAGGGAGAGAGCTCACCTAACCTCCCCGTCTTTGTCCCAGTCCTGGGGAGCAGAAACAAAGGGGAAAGGGCCAGGGGAGGGAGGGAGGAGAGTTGGAGCAGTTCGTTCAGAAACAGGCAAGAGAACCTTTGAGTGGACTTGAAAGTAATATCGGGGAAGCAGCACGACACATGTTGCATGCATGAAAGGGTAGGTAGGGAGCAGGGAAGGGGGACACACCGCACCACAGTTGTGCCTCACAGGGGAGGTGCGCTTCCCTTTCCTGTGAAGCGCACCACAGTTGTGCCTCTTGTGCGTTGGCATCACAGGGGAGGTTGGTGGGGGAGTGGAGCGGCCGGTGGGAGAAGAGAAGGGAGATGGGAGAAGAGAGGCGGATCTGGGAGGTTACACACATCCCCTGACGCCCGTTCTCATCTCACCACTGCTTGGCCTTGTGGGTTGGATCCACAGGGGAGGTCGGTGGGGGAGTGCAGCGGCAGGTGGGAGAAGAGGATGAGCGGGAGTGAGGACACCTGGGCACCTGCAGCAGAGCAACGGTGGAGAGAAGCGACGAAGAGATGGCAGAGAGGAACAGAGGATGAGAAGGGAAGAATAGAACAAGTGAACAAGAGATGAACAGGTAAGAGGATGAGCGGGAGTGTTTTTAAGAATTCTCAAAAATATCCTGCAGGATGAGCGGGAGTGAGGACGCCTGGGCACCTGCAGCAGAGCAACAGTGCAGAGAAGAGATGAAGATGGCAGAAAGGAAGAGAGGATGGAAGCGAGTGAGGGGGGCTGGGGTCGGCTCAGCTGCGGCAGAGAAGCGAAGAAGAGAAGAAACTTTGAGATGTCTCAAAAGTTTTGATTTTTGAGACGCCTCAAAACTGAGACGTCTCAGAACTGGGGGGCTGGGGTCCTGCAGCTGCAGCAGAGAAAGGAAGAAGAGAAGAAGTGAACAAGAGAGGAACAGGCACGACAACAAGAAGAGGCATGACTAAGGCACACCATACCATGGTCTGGGAGGCTCCCAGACCATGCCTCCAGCTGTTTCGTGCTGTTGTTGTGCTGCCTGTGCCCGTCCATGGCCAACCCGTTCACCCCCACCACCTTCATTGCCCCCACCACCTTCATTGCCCTTTCACCCCCACCACCTTCATTGCCCCCACCACCTTCATTGCCCTTTCACCCCCACCACCTTCATTGCCCCCACCACCTTCATTGCCCTTTCACCCCCACCACCTTCATTGCCCATTCACCCCCACCACCCCCTTCCACCCAAGCACACCCATCAACCCCTCGCACCATGGTCTGGCAGGCTCTGAAGGAATTCTTCTAGCTGCTTTGTGCTGTTGTTGCGCTGCCAATGGCCATCCACTGCCAGCCCATTCACCCCCACCACCCTCACCGCGCCCACTGGCCCCTTCACCCCCACTCCACAATCACGCGCCACCCCCACCACTCCCACCATGAATCAAAGCATCAGGCTACCATGATCAGGCAGGCTCTGCAGGAACTCCCATCCCCTCAGGCAGGCAGGCAGTGGATGGCCATCGTACCATGATCAGGCAGGCTCTGCAGGAACTCCTCCAGCTGTCGCGTGCTGTTGTTGCGCTGCCTGTGGCCGTCCATGGCCAGCCCGTTCACCCCCACCACCCTCACCACCCTCACCGCCCCCACCTTGAGGGAGTATAGCACGTCATCTCACCATGATCTGGCAGGCTCTGCAGGAACTCCTCCAGCTGTTTTGTGCTGTTGTTGCGCTGCCTGTGCCCGTCCATGGCCAGCCCGTTCACCCCCACCACCCTCACCGCCCCCACCTTGTCGTGGAAATTCAGCGCTCCCACATACCGCTCAAAGCGCACTGCCAACTGATGGGATGAGGGGAGACAGAGATGAGAGAGGCATAAGCGGAGGCGAGAAGAGGAGGGTGAGATAGAGGCCGTTCGTTCACCCCCACCACCCTCACCGCCCCCACCTTGTCGTGGAAATTCGCTCCCACGTACCGCTCGCAGCGCACTGCTAGCTGATGGAATGTGAAGAAGAAAATAGGCAGAGAAGGGGGCAGAAACGGAGGGTGAGACACTGAGGGAGGCCGTTCGTTCACCCCCACCACCCTCACCGCCCCCACCTTGTCGTGGAAATTGAGTGCCCCCACATACTGCTCAAACCGCACTGCCAGCTGATGGGATGAGGGGAGTTAGAGTAAGGAAAGAGAGAGGCGGGGGTACCACAGACTTCAGGCGTGTAACGCGGCGGCTGCTAAGGGAGGCTGAGGAGGGAGGCAACACGGAGACTGTGAATGACGAGAATGATCAGGGTGACCCCCTCTTTACACTCGATGGGGAGGGGAACTTGGAGCCCTCGTCTGAAGACAAGAGCCTGGAAGAGCTGGAGCCCAGATCTGCGAGACACCAAGCCCAGATCTGCGAGACACCAAGCCCAGATCTGCGAGACACCAAGCCCAGATCTGCGAGACACCAAGCTACCAACATTCGAGCCGGATCTGAAATTTCCCCGCCACCAAGCCAACCGACTTTTTCGCCAACAGACCTGGCGAAGCGCAGGGACCTTTTCGACCATGTTTCCACCTGGGACCTGTCCCACCTGAGTGATAGCCGTCAACCAAGCCTGGCAAGGCACCCACCCAAAGCAATTCGCGAAACCTTTGCGACATGCCTCCTGACCCCCCTCCTTGCCCTAGCCTCCAACCCTGACTCCGAACCTGCCTGGCGACTGCTGCTGTTCCTCCCGCGCCTAATCCTCCGTGTCCCCAGCACCAAACGTCCAGATTGGCCAGCCTGCAGCAGCCGTATCCTATCATTTGACTGCGGGAACTGGCAGGAACTGTACGAGGAAGCGGCCAAGGCTATTCAGCTCCCAGCCCAACCCAGACACACCACCGATGAGATTGGCTGCCTGGCCAGAGCTGAAGGCTTGGCCAAACGTGGGAACCTCAGAAAATCCCTCCAAGCCCTCCAGGCCACTCCTGTGGCCCCCAGCACACCTGACACTCTGGCTGCCCTCCAAGCGCGCCACCCTCCTGCCGAACTACTCATCCCTGACTGGGTTCCCAGCCACGCCACTGACACCCCACCACTCATACCCCTTCGCGACTTCCGCAAAATCATCGCCAAATGCCCCAACGGAGTTGGAGCTGGGCCCTCAGGCACAACCTTCGAACACCTCCGTGATGCTGCTCTTGGGAACCCAGATGTATGCCAACACCTCCACGCCCTCACCAACACGGCTCTCGCAGGCCAGCTGAGTCCCGAGGCAGCATCGCTACTCACAGTCTCACGTCTGGTTGCGTTCGTCCAACCTGGAGGAGGGATCCGCCCCATCGCAGTTGGCGAGTGCCTGCACCGCCTTATCGCGAAATGTGCACTTTACCTGACCGGCGCGGCTGCTCGAGACTTCTTCACACCTCTCCAACTCGGCGTAGCAGTAGGGCATCGTGCACTTGAACCCCACTTGGCAGAAAGAGGAAGAAGAGGAGGATTTGAGCAATCCCTACTAGCCTAAGCTCAGCCTAGAAGAGATTAGAACGAGTTAGCTCTGTTGGATCTAGGTCGAAACTATTTTCCTGAAAGGGTTTGCTGAAAGAGGAAGAAGAGGAGGAGTTGAGCAAACCCTTCAAAACATCCCCCCTTTTGTCTCCCTCCCTTCCCACTCCACCTCATGCTGCTTCCGCTGCGTGCTGCTGAATCCCACGTCTCCACCTCCATGCCCCTACCCTCCCTACTCCTCCCCTTTCCCCCTTCCATCCCCCTCCCTCTCCCACACCCACCTCGTGCTGCTTCCTCTGTGTGCTGCTGATTCCCACGTCTCTCTCCCCCGCCACCTGAGCCAGATCCGTCCGCTCCGCATGTGCACATTCACCCTGCCCTCCTCATCCCCTCCCCTCATCACTCCTTCCCTTCCCCTCTTCCAGCCCCTTCCCTCTCCCATGCTCACCTCATGCTGCTTTCTCTGTGTGCTGCTGTACCCAACGTCCCTCTCTCCCGCCACTTGAGCCAAGTCCGTCCGCATGTGCACATTCACCCCCTCACCCTCCCCCAGTTGCCACCTCCCCCACCACAGCCCTCCCTGCACCCACTCCCAAACGCTCCTCCCCAAAGCAACCCCTCGTTGGCCCCCCTCATTTGCCCCTCCTTGGCCACTCTTTGATTCCTTCCCCCTCTCCCTTTCCCTCTCCTCCCTATCCTCCCTCTCCTTCTCCCTCCCTCTCTCTCGCTCCATCTGCTGCCGCCGCCGCCTCTCCCAGGTGTGTGGGTCCAGAAAAGGGTCATGGGTCTGAAACACGTGGTGGTAGCGGCTCGCTTCTGCTCGGAAGCTGGTACAAGAACACAGACAGACGGGGTGGGATGCACAGAGAAGGGGCAATGAAGGGGGATCGGGATACTCTCAGTCCCTCCCAGCTGTGAGGGTCAAGGAAAGGGTCGTGTGTCTGAAACACGTGGTGGTAACGGCTTGTTTTTGTTGTAAATCTGTCACAGGGAGCAGGGTTGAAGGGGGGCGGGGAACATATGGAAACCAGTCTGAGCCTCTCCCAGGTGTGAGGGTCAAGGACAGGGTCGTGCGTCTGAAATACATGGTGGTAGCAGCTCGCTTCTGCTCGAAACCTGGTGTTTAGAGAGAGAGAGAGGGAAGTTGGTGGGGAGCACACGGAAATTAGTCTGAGTCTCTCCCAGGTGTGAGGGTGAAGGAAAGGATCATGTGTCTGAAACACGTGGTGGTAACGGCTCGCTTCTGTTCGAAAGCTGGTACATAGAGCAGAGAGGGTGGCGGGGAGAAAGAGGAGAGAAGGGAGAGGGGGGTGAGAGAACATGGGAGGGAAAATAAGAGTCGTGTGGGGTCGATGTGTTCAACCACGGGTCAATGAAGGGGTCTCGTGTGTCTGGAACATTTTGAGTCGACTCATTAGTCAAAAGTCAACTTCTGAGTCGACTCAAAAGTCAATATGTTCAACCACGGGTCAATGAAGGGGTCTCGTGGGCCTGGAACATTTTGAGTCGACAGTCAACTTCTGAGTCGACTCAGAAGTCAATATGTTCAACCACGGGTCAATGAAGGGGTCTCGTGGGTCTGGAACATTTTGAGTCGACTCATTAGTCAAAAGTCAACTTCTGAGTCGACTCAAAAGTCAATATGTTCAACCACGGGTCAATGAAGGGGTCTCGTGGGTTTGGAACACATGGTTGGTTTCACATCACATCACATCACATCACATCACATATCGTGGCGGGTCTGTGCGACATTGTTTTCGAGACTAGTTTTGAGGCGCCTCAAAACTAACTATTTCGTGGCGGCACCGTGGGACATTGTTTTTGAGACGTCCGAATGCTTGTGGAAAGGCAGCAGGTGGAAGGGACCTACAGAGGGTAGGTAGCGTCAGCTCCAGACTGGACGAGGTCCCCGAGCGTGACGACGAGGCTCGGGGAGAACCGGAGCACGGAGGCTCGGAAGGCCCGGCGCAGGTAGAGGTCGTTGCGGAGGCGAGCGGTGATGAATTGTGCGTGCAGGGCGGTGCTTGGGAGGAGCTGAGGTGGAGGGGGCGGGGGGGGAAAGGGAAGGGGGAAAGGGTAAGGAAAGGAAACAGGGAGGGGGGGGGCAGATAGAGGTCGTTGCGGAGGCGGGCCGTGATGAACTGAGCATGCAGGGCGGTGCTTGGGAGGAGCTGGGGGGAGCAAGCAGGGGGGGTGGGGGACATTGTGAATCTTTCAATTTTGAAAATGTAGTCGTGTGCTGGGAAGGGATTGAAATTTGGTAGTTACGTACGGAGGTTGGGAGGAGTTGGCGGGGGTTGTTGATTGGGACTGATGCGAAGTGAACTTGGATCAGCCTTTGGGAATGGTGGATATCATGAGGCATCGCATTAGTTGTCAATAACGCGGATGGGTGATTAATGCATGTAGAATATGCACAATGCAAAGGATTAAGCGTGTAGAGTGTAGAACCCACCTTTGGACTGTTAATGACTGCAATTGTCTTGTATTCCTTGGGAGGGATGTACTGACCCTGGAATAACAACACGCAAAGAAAATAAAGATGGCAAACTTTGCAGAACGTCAGATTCCAGTTGGATAAAAGAGAGATGGACGGTGGATATGCAACCTGTCACTTTTCCAATTTCCGGTGGATTCACAAGCAGGGGGTTTGTGTTTGAAAAACAGAAACAAGCCTGTCAAATGAGCACCGGACGGCTGAGCTTAGAAGCCGCTGAACATGCCGCTTGATTCCCACCACTCCACCTGAACATCCACCTGAACATCCACCTTCCAGGCACTTAACTCAATACCCCCCATCTGGAGGACTCTCGTGGGGAATCTGGGCGGCCAAAGCCAGAACTGAATCCACTCGCTGCAGAGCAGGCTGATCGCCTCACACGATGCCGAGCACAGGATCATTCACCTGAAACTTCACCTGAACTCTTACCTGAACGCTCTCGTCCGGCCAGGTTGAGCAGCTGGGCGGCCGAAGCCAGAACTGAATCCATTCGCTGTAGAGTAGGCTGGTTGGCCACACGACGCCCAGCACCTATATATCCACCTGATTTTTTCACCTGAACATTCACCTGAACACTCTCGTCCGGCCACGTAGAGCAGCTGGGCGGCCGAAGCCAGAATTGAATCCACTCGCTGTAGAGCAGCAGGCTGACCGCCCCACACGACGCCCAGCACCAGAATATTCACCTGAACATTCACCTGAATACTCACCTGACCACTCTCGTCCGGCCACGTGGAGCAGCTGGGCGGCCGTAACCAAAACTGAATCCACTCGCTGTAGAGTAGGCTGATCGCCCACACGACGCCGAGCACCGTCGCCAGCACCCACTGCGCCATGCACACCGACGACGACCTTTTAGCGGTAACGAATCCGCGGTGACGAGTCCGCTGTCACGAGTCCGCTGTAACGAGTCCGCTGTAACGAGTCTGCTGTAACGAGTCCGCTGTAATGAGTCTGCTGTAACGAGTCTACTGTAACGAGTCCGTTATAATGTATCCGCTGTAACGACTCCACTGTAACGAGTCTGCTGTGAACAGCGTTTCCGGAAAGAGTCTACGAATGCAGAGGACGGATGAGACTAACCCTAGAACGATGGGTTTGGATTCCCGGTTCTCGAGCTTTGCCTTGTTTTGCGAAGTTCCGGAGAAAATCAGACAGGCTTCTAGTATTCTAGCGGTCTATTCTAAGAACTGTGTGACAGCCATAACGGAACCGAACCGCAACTTCCTAAGCACAATGCGTACTCGCTTCGCTCTACCCGTTGGAATCGGGAAGTCGGAACATAACGGAACAATTTGGGAAGTTGGGGAGGCGAGGCAGCACACAGAGGTTTGTCTGACTGCCTTGGAAACATCGAATGTGTCCCATAAGATCAAACGCGATTTCAAACACATTTGACTGCAAATGTGCAAATGATTGGATCTCATTGTACAAGTGAATATTCTTCGCTTCTAAACCCGAAATGCTCTAAAACTTTAGAAAACCACCCCACAACACTGCTTTCTGCTAGCTACCAGGATTCTGTTTTGATTGTTAATGGCCTACATTATTCTGCACCTAACTGCCTTTGTCAGAAAAGATGTATTGATTAGTACAAAGCCCCTCCACCACTAGCATGGGGGGCAATGCTTATACCGAGCAATTTGCTCAGCAAGAAGCAGATAGATACAGTGTAGCTATTTCACAAATCTACACCATTGGACATCAATCGTAAGTTTCTCGTTCCCGATTCCGGATGCTTCTCCCTGCTTTTCTCGGAGCTTACTAGCTACCAAGCAATAGCCATTGGCAGCAGAATCGGGCTAGGTTCGGACGATTTCACCGAACCAGTGGGCGTAAGTACGGACATTGGGCTTTTACCAAGACCAGCCATCTGTACCAGCAGCTTCTCCGAATCTAATCCCATCAGCTCCGCGATCGTTCTCATGCCATGAGAAACCTCCTGCGGCTCGGCAGCGTCTGTGCGAGGCACCCGAGGCGCAGGCGATTTGAGATCATAGCCAGAGCTTTCGGCGGTGGACGGCTGTCGCGAAAGGAGAACGGGGTAGACTGCTGGTCCGGGAAGTGCGGCGTGGTTTGCGGCGGAAGGCGCGGGGAGAGCGGGGAGAGAAGGGCGGAAGAGTGTAGAGACGAGGGAGGACCAGAGGAGAGAGGTATCGACGACGCACACGCACCCGTCCCTGTGGCTCCGCTGCTTCCGGCCCAAACTGTATACTGCGCCGCGGTCGCTGCTACCTGCGCTGCTCGCGCTGCTCACGCTGCGCCCACTATCGGAGCTGCTGCTATTAGCGAAGCGGCGCATGTCGGAACTTCCCGAAGACGAGGAGGAGGAGGAGGAGGTTGAGAGCGACGCGTCAGATGCGCGAACAATCAGCGACTGCTCGAGTTTCGACGGATTTGCCTTCGGCTCCTCGCGAGCGCGACCGCTCAGCGGAATCTCCGTGAACGCGTCCGACCGGACCCGCTTCTCACCCGCAGCCGCCGCCGCCGTTACCGGCGCTACCGGCTCGTACTTCTCGTACACGATCGGCGTGGGGAGGTCGTCCCATACTCTGTGCCGCCTCCGGCGCTGCTGCTTCTTCTGCGGCTGCGCGGGCTGCGGCGCCGCTACGCGCTTCGGCGGCTGGTAGAAGTACGGAAGCGGGGAGGGGGAAGGCGGAGGCGGGTTGAAGACAGGGATTTGGAGCATGCTGGGGCGGGGGAGTTTCCCGAGAGGCGGGTGCGGGTTGGGCATGGCTTGCTCCTCCTCCTCGTATGATTCGTCGAGGAGATACGAGAGACGCGACGCCCAGTACTGAGCCATTTAAGATCGCTCTGGATAGTTTCTAGAGAAGTTAAACGCCGACGCTAGCTTGCTCTGAGAGACGCGGAGTTTGGAGATTCGGGTTTAATGAGTCTCGGAGACCACGGCTGCTTCTGAGATGCCTCACGATGCGGCTCAACGCACAATAGTGTTGAAGCAAATGTGGGGATCTGGATCAAGTAGGCTCGTCGAGAGGAGGCAGCTAGATGCAGTGCTTGTGTAATGCGCAGAGAGGAGTGTCTTTGCAGCAAGTTGGTGCGGAATTTCTGCTTCTCGCTTGAATCGCAATGGGCAACAGAGGAAGAAGGAAGGACGGTGCTGGTCAATGCCTTTGTCTTCTGTGGTGGAAAGATGGCTTTGTTGTGTTGAAAACGTCGTTTGTAAAGAATTTATTTGTAGGGTACAGGAGCAGCAGAGGAGGGTACATGCGCCCCCCATTGGCCAACAACGCTCACGTCCTCCCACCCCACACAACCACTGGCGTTTCCCAGGGGCCAAATTCGCGGGTCGACAAAATCGGTTCGGCCTCTGTTGCCACGCCGAATCGGCCACCAATCACCGTGCACCCGTGGAGCCATCCGATCTGACCAGGAAAAATTGCCCCTTCGAGCCGCGCATGCTCTTGACTCCGAACCGCGGGGATGCTGTTCACTGATGCTTCTCAGGAGAGCCTTTCTGCGGCGCGGTTGGATCTGCCAGGGGGGCTCAGGTGGGGACCTGCGTTCTTGAGAAAGGTGTAACAGTAGAAATTGGAGCGGACAGCGGGTAATCGCGGCTCGCTTCAGGTGCCCCCAGGGCCTTGCTGTTAGCCAATGGGTGCTGCTGCTTCGCTCCAAACATTGTGGAAGGTGCCACCCATGAGTGAGGAGGAAATGCCAACTTTTTCATGCTGCTGGCCTGGTGGTGGGGTAGGTTTTCATTTCATTCCACAGCCTCGCAGATTCCTAGTGAGGACGAGTCGCAGGTAAATTGACGTTCTTTCGCAACTCCACGAAGAAAAACCGTGAGCGTGTGATTCGGCCATCGCAACGTAGGTCGCTGCTTTGGGCGAGACGTCCGCGAACAGCTCAACATCGCATAACCCCAAATTGGCGAAGATCACCGAGTGCGAGACTTTCGGTAATAGAAAATATGGAATGTAACAAGGCAATGCACTTCGGTAGTAATCGAAGTTCTGCTTAGAGATGTTTCTGTTCAGCAAACCAGCTTTGATTAAATTTAAGCTTAAATGGAGTACCTCCTTTTCACGCACATCCCACATCTGAACATGCATGGCACCCGCGCTTTTGATAAACAAGGTGCTAACACGATGGTCTAATCGTTTAGAATCTAAATTTCCTGATGACCAAATTAGGAAATGGGACATCAGCATGTCAATTTGATCCGACACAGCATGTGAGATGCGGCATGTAGGGCAAAAACCGGGTAGCTGTACAACAACTGCTGCTGCCACTGTTGTCGTGACCATTCCTGCAGCTGTTGCTGCTGCTCTAAGCCCCGTGATCCGTAACTGCCTCCTCCCGGACACATCCCGGGAAATCCCTGTTAATATCCAGGCCTCCTGCTGCTACCTTCTGCTTACAACCTTCCTCCATCTTCCACAGTCTCTTCCCCTCTCACCTTGATTGCCTCCTCAGCAGTCTTACCCACTTCGCTGCTTACCTTCTCCATACTCACCTCCCCATAACAACTGTCCCTATGTTCACCTCCACACAAAAACAGCCACGCGTTCCTATTCTCACACTCCGAAAGAATAGGATCATTTCCACCTGTGCAGAGCACTTAAGGGAAAATAAGAAGGTGAAACTGTAAGTCACCTCAAACATTACGGAGGTGCCCCTTCCACTCCTCCATCCTCCCCTCTGTTCTCCCCACTTCCCTTCTCTTCCCTCCTCTCCTCCTCTGCTCTCCTCTCCTGCTCCTCGCGCTGCTCCAGCATCATTTTTCGTCGCTCCACCTGCTGCAGCAGCCCATCCAGCTCGCTCGACCGCACAGGCTTGGTCAGAAAGTGGTCCATGCCCACCTGTGGTTGGGGGTTGGGGGTTGGGGTACGGGGTTGGGGTTGGGGTGGAGATAGATAGAAGGTAGCGTTGGGAGGGGGAACAGGGACTTTCGCTGCTTCCCCTGCTGCAGCAGCCCATCCAGCTCGCTCGACCGCACCGGCTTGGTCAGGAAGTGGTCCATGCCGACCTGCGTGTTGGGGGTTAAATGTGCAGGGGAAGAGATGATGAGAAAGATGGCGAATGGGGAGGGGGAGAAAGGGAGGAGGGGGATGATGCATGCGCCAACCGCCGATCCACTCACCTCGGTGCATCTGAGCCGTTCGTGCATGCGTGCACTCGCAGTGAGAGCCACGATATACGGCTGATGCGGCATCCCAGCCAACTCAAAGCTTACCTCGGTGCATCTGAGCCGTTCGTGCATGAGTGCACTTGCTGTCAGCGCCACGATATACGGCCGCTTCCGCTTCGACCCGTTCCCCTTCCTCCGCCGCCCCTCCTCCCCGTCCCCATCCCTCTCCTGACCCTTTTCTCAACCCCCTCTCTCACTTCATCTGCCGCTTTACTCCCTTTACCACCAGCCGCATTCGACTTGTCCTCATCCATGCCTTGACTACTGGGCTTGCCTTGATCACTGGGCTTGTTTTTGTCACCGGGCTTGACACCAGTACCAGTATCTGCTCCCCCATCTGCCGCTTTAGCCCCGCTACTCCCCTTGCGAACCGACTTGTCTTCATCCATGCATGTGGCACCATCTGTAGAAGCAGCTGCAACAGCAGCTGTCGCAGCAGGTGTAGCGCCGTCCATAGCAGGAGCTGTGGCTCCAGCTGTAGCAGCAGCTGTAGCGGCGTCGCCAGCAGTTTCCCAGACAGTGGGAAGCTCCCGGATCTTCTGAGTGGCAATGAATCCGTCCATTACCGGCATGTGGCAGTCCTGTGAGGGGGCAGGGAGGGAGGGAAATCGGGGAGAGGGGAAGGGGCAGTTGAGGCGCCTTACACATCTCCTTCTGGATCTTCTGAGTGGCAATGAATCCGTCCATTACCGGCATGTGGCAGTCCTGCGAGCGGAAGGGGGGAGACAAGGGAGAGACAGGAAGGCAGGGGAATGGGCGTACATAGTAAGTCGCCCTCAAAGAAAATAGCGACTTGGAAGCTTCTGAATCTTCAGAGTGGCAATGAAGCCGTTCATTACCGGCATGTGGCAGTCCTGAGAGAGGGGGGGTGGAGGAATAGGGGGTTGGGGGAACAAGGGGGTGGGGGAAGTTATGGGGGAAGGCAATGAGGCGCATTCATATGGTATAGCTCTCACGAAGCTTCTGAGTGGCAGTGAAGCCATCCATCACCAGCATGTGGCAGTCCTGAGGAAGGGGGTTGGGGGGGGGGGGGGGGGGAGGGGAGGGGGGGGAATAGGGGGTTGGGGGAACAAGAGGGGGGGGGAAGTTATGGGGGGAAGGCAATCAGGCGCAGTCATATGGTATAACTCTCACGAAGCTTTTGAGTGGCAATGAAGCCAGCCATCAGCGGCATGTGGCAGTCCTGAGAAGGGGAGAGGAACAGAAAGGAAACAGGGGTGGGACGGGGATGAGAGCGAAGGAAGGTGGGGCGGGAAGGGGGACAGTGAGGCGCATTCATATAGCACAGCTCTTTCGGGACTTCTGAGTGGCAATGAGTAAGGGAGTGAGGGAGTGAGTGAGGGAGGGAGTGAGTGAGGGAGTGATTGTGGGAGTGAGTGAGTAACACCACCCACCATGAACACCACGTCATAGTCTTTCTTCTCGCACGCCCGCAGCGCCTCCTCTCCATTCGAAGCCACGTCCGACACCACGCCCAGCCCCCTCAGCATGCGCACCACCACCATCTGATTCACTTTATTATCCTCCGCTATCAAACACGCCAGCCCCTTCCTCCTCTTCTTCCTCTCCTCCTCACACCCCAGCCCTAACCCTTCTCCACCCCCCGTGGAAAAACCCGGAGCAGCAGTGGGAGCGGCAGCGGCCGCGGCTGTAGCGGTGGCGGCAGCAGCGGTGCCGGATCTTCCGCTTCGTGATCTGCCTCCGCCTCCTCCTCCCCACGTCCCTGCTCCTGAGGCATCGGCTGACGAGCCTGCTTGGATGGACAGCCGCGGTGGCAGCAGCAGCAGCGGCAGCAGCAGGAGCAGGACAAAAGAAAGAAAGAAAGAGAGATAGAGAGATTAGTCAGCGGTGGCGGCAGCAGCGGTGCCGGATTTCCCGCTTCGTGATATGCCTCTGCCTCCTCCTCCCCACGTCCCTGCTCCTGAGGCATCGGCTGACGAGCCTGCTTGGATGGACAGCCGCGGTGGCAGCAGCAGCAGCGGCAGCAGCAGGAGCAGGACAAAAGAAAGAAAGAAAGAGAGATAGAGAGATTAGTCAGCGGTGGCGGCAGCAGCGGTGCCGGATTTCCCGCTTCGTGATATGCCTCTGCCTCCTCCTCCCCACGTCCCTGCTCCTGAGGCATCGGCTGACGAGCCTGCTTGGATGGACAGCCGCGGTGGCAGCAGCAGCAGCGGCAGCAGCAGGAGCAGGACAAAAGAAAGAAAGAAAGAGAGATAGAGAGATTAGTCAGCGGTGGCGGCAGCAGCGGTGCCGGATTTCCCGCTTCGTGATATGCCTCTGCCTCCTCCTCCCCACGTCCCTGCTCCTGAGGCATCGGCTGACGAGCCTGCTTGGATGGACAGCCGCGGTGGCAGCAGCAGCAGCGGCAGCAGCAGGAGCAGGACAAAAGAAAGAAAGAAAGAGAGATAGAGAGATTAGTCAGCGGTGGCGGCAGCAGCGGTGCCGGATTTCCCGCTTCGTGATATGCCTCTGCCTCCTCCTCCCCACGTCCCTGCTCCTGAGGCATCGGCTGACGAGCCTGCTTGGATGGACAGCCGCGGTGGCAGCAGCAGCAGCGGCAGCAGCAGGAGCAGGACAAAAGAAAGAAAGAAAGAGAGATAGAGAGATTAGTCAGCGGTGGCGGCAGCAGCGGTGCCGGATTTCCCGCTTCGTGATATGCCTCTGCCTCCTCCTCCCCACGTCCCTGCTCCTGAGGCATCGGCTGACGAGCCTGCTTGGATGGACAGCCGCGGTGGCAGCAGCAGCAGCGGCAGCAGCAGGAGCAGGACAAAAGAAAGAAAGAAAGAGAGATAGAGAGATTAGTCAGCGGTGGCGGCAGCAGCGGTGCCGGATTTCCCGCTTCGTGATATGCCTCTGCCTCCTCCTCCCCACGTCCCTGCTCCTGAGGCATCGGCTGACGAGCCTGCACACACTGCAGTGGTTAGCAGCAAAAGCAGAAGCAGGGGGAAAGAAAAAAACGAGAGATAAAGAGATTAGGGAGCAGTGGATGTGCAGCAGCGAGAACATGTGAAGGAGGTCGTTTGAGCGTGACGTGCCTCTGCCTCCCCCTTCCCATGTCCTTGCTCAAGACGCGTCAGTTTCTTAGTCGAGTCAGCCCCCACACCCTATGAACCGATGCAGATAGAGAAAGTTAGAAACCCACCTGCAAGAGAGTCGTCTCTGGCCATCAGCCCGCCGATCCCGGCGAGTGCACAGAGCTGCGCCGTGGAGACGGGCAGCTGGATGGTGAAGGCGAAGGTGGAGCCTTCGACCACTTGGCCTTTGAACCCGCCCTCATGCCCCCACGCCCCCACGGCTCCTCACCGCACGACAGATATAGAGAGTTAGATACTAACCTGCGAGAGAGTCGTCTCTGGCCATCAGCCCGCCGTTCCCAGCGAGCGCACAGAGCTGCGCCGTGGAGACGGGCAGCTGGATGGTGAAGGCGAAGGTGGACACCACGCCCCCACACCCCCACAACAGCTATAGGTATAAACGAACCTGCAAGAGAGTCGTCTCGGGACATGAGCCCGCCGTTGCCAGCGAGCGCACAGAGCTGCGCCGTGGAGACGGGCAGCTGAATGGTGAAGGCTGAGTCGGGGCGCCTCACCCCACAGCCGAGAAGCAAGCCGAGAAGCAGAGTCCCTAACCTGCTACCACCAGCACAAGACTCTTCCCTTTGAGGAGGCCTCACCTGCGAGAGAGTCGTCTCTGGCCATGAGCCCGCCATTCCCTGCGAGAGCACAGAGCTGGGCGGTTGACACGGGGAGCTGGATGGTGAAGGCGAAGGTGGACCCGGCGCCCACTTGGCTGCTCACGTGAATGTCCCCCCCCATGAGGTTCACCAAGGATTTAGAAATCGCCAGGCCCAGCCCCGTGCCCCCGTAGCGACGGGATGTGGAGGCGTCACCCTGTGAATGGGGAGTGGGCGGGTGGGCAGCGGAGGGAAAGAGGGGAGGGGAGGGTAGGGAGGGTGGGGGAGGGGAGTGGAGTGTGTGAAGTTGGAAAAAACGATTCAAAGCACCCCGCCCTGCCCTGCCTCCACCCCACTTGCATGCGTCCCTCACCCCACGTGAATGTCCCCCCCATGAGGTTCACCAGCGACTTGGAAATCGCCAGGCCCAGCCCCGTGCCCCCGTAGCGGCGAGAGGTGGACGTGTCGCCCTGTGGGGATGGGTTGTGAGGGATGGGAAGAGGGCGGACGGGGGAGTGCAGGGTTTAGGAGGACAAGGGTTTGAGCGTACGCAGGCCCAGCCCCGTGCCCCTGTAGCGGCGAGAGGTGGAGCCATCTCCCTGTTGGGGTGACTGGGGAGCGAAGAGTGTTGAAGGAGATCAACTCAAAACACCCTGCCCCCACCCAGCTTAGCCCCTCCGAGATCAGCCCCCTCCCCCCCCCCCCCATGAGGTTAACCAGTCAACGTCCCCCCATACCTGCATGAATGCGCGGAACAGCCTGGAGCACGCCTCTTGACTGATGCCCATGCCAGTGTCCACCACACAGTGCCGAGGAGTGGTTGAGAGGAGTGAAGATGTGTGCGAGTAGTGAGTCTGCCGCCCCCATACCTTTCATCAAGCCCAGTTGACACCCCCATACATACCTGCATGAACGCGCGGAAGAGCCTGGAGCACGCCTCTTGACTGATGCCCATGCCAGTGTCCACCACACAAAACGTTATCCACACCATCTCTTCCCCTTTCTCCCCCTCCCCCTTCTCCCCCTCCCCATCTTCACCCTTCCCCCCCGCAGCATCCTCCTTCTCTCCTTGCTCCACAGCAGCCCCTCCATTTCTTCTGCTATTCTCTCCCTTCCCACTCTCTCCTCCCTCCCTTCCCTCACCTCCAACCTCTCTCCTATCAACCACACCCCCTCCCTTCTCCTCTCCCTCCCTCTCCCCGAATTCCGCGTCTTCTGAGTCACCCTCCGTCTCCTCCCCTCTCCCCTTCCGTCGTCTCTCCTCTCCCCTCCCCTCGCCCCTTCCTTCCTCCTCTCCACTCCCTCCCCCTCTCCGCCCGTCCTCTTTTCGCACCATACCCTTCCCTGCTGCCCCTACTGCCTCTTTCCCCTTCCCCCCATCCCCTGCTTCCCCGTCCCTTCTCTTCCCCGCCCCTGTTGCCCCATCTACGCGCCTGCGTTTCGCAATAGGTTCCTCCTCTACTCTCCCCCCATCAGCCTTCCTAGTATCCCCTACGTCTACCACACCCTTTCCTCCTCCCGCTCCGCCCGCTGCTTCTGCTGCTGCTGCTGCTGCCGCTGCAACTGTTCCTGCTTCCCCTGCTCCTCCGCCTGCTCCTCCCCCCCCTCCTCCCCCCTCCCCGGCGCCTCCTTCCCCTCCTGCTGCAGCATCTGCGGCCTTTCCCGCTGCGGCAACAGCAGTAGCAGCTCGAGTCGTTCGCACGCGGGTGATCTCGTCCTCTGTGCTGCGGCGAATCACAATCTGGATGCCGCCACTGGTGTGAGAGAGGGGGAAAGGGTAACGGGAGGTGGGGGAAAGGGGAAAGGGAGGTGGGGGGCGACTTTGGAGCCAACTCAGGAGCCAATTTTCCCTCGAGTCGTGTGCACGCGGGTGATCTCGTCCTCTGTGGCGCGGCGAATCACAATCTGAATGCCGCCACTGGTGGGACGGGGGGAGGGTAAGCGGAGGTGCGGGGCGGCTTGTAAGCCGACACTTTGAAGTAAGCGTCTGTGCCCGGCAAATCACAATCCGCATGTTGCCATTGGTGGGAGAGAGAGGGGGAAGGGAGGTGGGGAAAAGGGGCTGCCAATGTACCTCTGGGTGAACTTGATGGAGTTGGAGACAAGGGAGTGACCAGTCAGTCAGATGCCAGTTCTTGAGAGAAAGCCAGGGCCTAGACGGGGGCGGCCATGCCAACGCACCTCTGGGTGAACTTGATGGAGTTGGAAACGAGGTTGAGAATGATCTGCCTCAGCCGCCCCGGATCGCCCCTCACGTAGCGCGGCACGTCCGGAGCCACACGACTCTCCAGCTGCGAGATAACACAAAGGGAAGAATGAGAAACTCATTAGAACCAGTTAAACAGCCCTTGAACAACCACCAATAAAAACCCATAAAGCAGCCCTTGAAACCTACCAGCAATCCTTTTTCCGAGGCAGCAACGCAGAGCAGCGCCGTCGCCTCGTTGATACACGTCTCAAGGCAGAAGGCGACGCTCTCCAGACCCAGAGATTGCGATTCGATCTTGGAGAGATCCAGCACGTCCGATATGATCCGCAGCAGATTGTCTCCCGACGACCGGATGATCTCGAGGTACGAGCGTTGTTCCACTGTGAGAGGCGTCCGCAGCAGCAGATCCGCCACTCCCAACACCCCTGCGAGAAAGGTGGTTTGGGTGGGAAACATAGGGTTTTAGAAGCATGGCACACGGGCATTGAAGCCGAGGATCGGATGATCTCGAGGTACGAGCGCTGCGCTGCTCCACTGTGAGTGGCGTGTAGAGGAGCAGATCCGCCACTCCCAGCACACCTGGACGGATGACAAATAGAGTGGGAGAGAGGGGCTTTCAGCTGCATGCCACACGGGTAGTGGGGCCGACGATCAGATGATCTCGAGGTCGGAGCGCGCTGCTCCATTGCGAGGGCCGTGCGCAGCAGCAGCAGATCCGAAACTCCCAAACGTGCACGCACACGCGCTCACACACGGTGCACCGAACGATCGAGCACTCACCATTCATGGGCGTGCGGATCTCATGGCTCATATTTGCCAGAAACAGGCTCCTCGCCTCGCTCGCCGCCTCCTTTCCAAGTGCACTTCCCCCTCTCCACTCCACTCTCTCTCCAAATTATTCTCTATCCACATCGTTCGCGCACACCACACGCAGCGTTCTGTCTCACCATTCATGGGCGTGCGAATCTCGTGGCTCATATTCGCCAGAAACAAGCGCGCCTCCTCCTTTCCAAGTGAACTTACCACTCTCCACGTGACTCTCTCTCCAAGTGGCTCTCTATCCCCTTCTCTCTCTCGAAACACAATGAGCGTTCGTTCTCGCTCTCATTCATGGGCGTGCGAATCTCGTGGCTGATATTCGCCAAAAACAAGCTCTTCGCCTCGCTCGCAGCCTCTCGAGTGGACCCACCCCCCCACCCATGCACGCATGCATGCACTCACGCATAGCCTGGCCCAGCACTCACCGTTCATGGGAGTGCGGATCTCGTGGCTCATATTAGCCAGAAACAGGCTCTTCGCCTCGCTCGCAGCCTCCTTCCCGCAAGTGAGCTTACCACTCTCCACTTCACTCTCTCTCACACCACACACTGCGTTCTCCCTCACCGTTCATGGGAGTGCGAATCTCGTGGCTGATATTCGCCAAAAACAAGCTCTTCGCCTCGCTCGCAGCCTCTCGAGTGGACCCACCCCCCCACCCATGCACGCATGCATGCACTCACGCATAGCCTGGCCCAGCACTCACCGTTCATGGGAGTGCGGATCTCGTGGCTCATATTAGCCAGAAACAGGCTCTTCGCCTCGCTCGCAGCCTCCTTCCCGCAAGTGAGCTTACCACTCTCCACTTCACTCTCTCTCACACCACACACTGCGTTCTCCCTCACCGTTCATGGGAGTGCGAATCTCGTGGCTGATATTCGCCAAAAACAAGCTCTTCGCCTCGCTCGCAGCCTCTCGAGTGGACCCACCCCCCCACCCATGCACGCATGCATGCACTCACGCATAGCCTGGCCCAGCACTCACCGTTCATGGGAGTGCGGATCTCGTGGCTCATATTAGCCAGAAACAGGCTCTTCGCCTCGCTCGCAGCCTCCTTCCCGCAAGTGAGCTTACCACTCTCCACTTCACTCTCTCTCACACCACACACTGCGTTCTCCCTCACCGTTCATGGGAGTGCGAATCTCGTGGCTGATATTCGCCAAAAACAAGCTCTTCGCCTCGCTCGCAGCCTCTCGAGTGGACCCACCTTCCCACCCATGCACGCATGCATGCACTCACGCATACCCAGACCCAGCACTCACCATTCATGGGCGTGCGAATCTCGTGGCTCATGTTCGCCAGAAACAAGCTCTTCGCCTCACTTGCAGCCTCCGCAGCCTCCTTGGCCTTCCGCAGCACCTCCTCCTGCCTCTTAATCTCCGTCAAATCATGCCAGTTCGCCACAAAAAAACTCTCTCCGCCCACAGACACGCAGTGCACGTGAATCCTCACAGGCACCTCTGTTCCGTCCCGTGCCAAATGCACCCAGTTCACCACCAACTGCCCCTTCTCCACCGTCTGCCTGCCGATTTCAAGCGCGAGTACTTCCGAGAGCTGCCCGTCGGGTTGACGGACTGGTGAGAGCGGGTTGGAGTAGCCTGGTTTCGCCATGGCGTGGGAGAGCGCGGCCTTGGAGGGGTATTTGAGAGTGCATAGGGCAGCGGGGTTGCACTCGAGGAGAAGGTGATCTATGTTGTAAATCAGCACTGGGTCCTGTGGGTAAGAGAGGAAAAGAGGAGGGGAGGAAAGGGAAGGCGAGGGAACGGCTTTGGAACAAGGTGATTGCCGAGGTCGCAGGGCGGCGGGATTGCCCTCGAGGAGAAGGTGGTCTATGTTGTAAATCAGCACTGGGTCCTGTGGGTGGATAGAGGAAGGGGGGGAGGAAAAGGGGAGCAAGGGAACGCGGCTTAGAAAGAAGGTGATTGCCGGGTCAAATGGCGGCGGGGTTGCATCCGAGGAGGATGTGATCCATGTTGTAGATCAACACTGGGTCCTGTGGGTAGTGAAGGAGGAGCAGGGGGGAGGGGGGGACTTTGTAATGCCAAAAAAAAAAAAAAAAAACAAACAAACAAACAAACAAACTTCCAGAAAGCGCCCAATTTCACGAACACACCCTTTGGTTTGGTTTAGTTTGATGAAAACAGAGAGGGCTAATTTACTCACCGTTGATTTCTGCACCATCTTCTTAAACACCTCCAGCTCCTTGTACTTGGAGAACCCTTTTGATGATTTAATTCCAAAACATCCTATTTATACAAGGTGTTCTCGTGCTTCCTCAAACACACACCCTCATTCACTCACGCTGATTTTTCCACCATTTTCTTGAACAGCTCCAGCTCCTTGTACTTCCTTAAAAGCAGACTCGCTGCTTTGTAAGACCACTCCACCACCTGCTCCTCCACTGGCTTAGGAGGCGCACAAACTGACTTCGAACCACCCTCATCGGAAGACGTTACATTGGAAGCTGCGCCAGCAACCGCATCGGCAACCTCATTGGGGGGAGTTACACTGGCAGCTGTGTCCACGTCACCGCTGTCCACGTGGGCCTCGTCCACGTGGAGGTTGTCCACGTGTCCAGGTGATGATCCGTGGTTCTCCAAGCGGCTCAGGACATTTAAACCGGACTCCACCACTTCGTCCAGCCCCGCACCACGGAAAAGGCCCTGGTATTTCCCGCAGATGTCCGGGCTTAAGTGCTCCGGGACTAGGGTTGTCATTCCCAAATCTTTCTCCTTCTCCTTCTCCTTCTCCTGCTGCTGCTGGCTGTCCGAGGTAGAAGAGGGTTTCTGCGGGTCGTTTGGTTCGGAGTCCAGAGCATTGGCGCAGCGCACGAGCTGTAGAAGCAGCTTGAATAGAAGCTTCTGGAAGGGGGGTGGGAGCGACAAGAGGGTGGGATAGGACCAGAGGAGGATGAGGGTTTCTGCAGTTGGTTTAGGGTGGTTTGCCTTGGAGTCTGGATAGATGGCGCGGCACACGAGGTAGAAACTCGAGGAGAGAGAAATATAGACACACAAGAAAACCGTGGTAGGCCAGAAGAAAAAAAACAAAAAAACAAAACAAACAGAGAAACGTGAAGAAAAGGATGAGAAGGAGGCAAAACAAGATGTGACTGAAATACGAGATTTGCCACACCGTTTCATCGTCCCGGCGTGAATTTCTTGTTATGGTCGCGACCAAGAACCCTTGCCCCTCCGAATCATCCTGAAACCACTGGAAGTTAACTGATGCTGAAACCCGACCCTCGTCCGTTTTCCACCCTAATCTCTCCTCCACACCCGGAAACTTCGGCGGACATGTCTTCTTCGGTCCATTCAAAGTGCCTTGCCCAAGCGAGCTTCGGAGTTCCCTAGAGGAAACCTGCTCAGACGACTGCGGCCGCGCTGCATTTCCACCACCAGATTCGGTGGCGGTCGGTTCGGACCGGTTCGCCGGATGTGAATCGCGTAGCGCATCTTGCGACACAGCAACATTAGTAAAATGTGCGATTCGAGAGGGGACACGTGCACCCGCCGCCGTCTCGCCGTCGCAAGGGGAGATTAAGCGCGGGAGATTTCCCGCCAGGTCCTCCCCGTCTTCGGGGGTGTTATAACCGGGGTCAACCGCTAGTTTATGATGCTTCTTAGAATCTCGGAACAGCTTTCCGCAATGCCTGCAGCATTCCGTGCCTCCTTTTCCGTGAGCAGTACTATTACTAACATTAAATGATTCACTGCCATCGCGAGGTTGCCGTTGACTGAGGCAACTAGTAAGACCACCTTCGAGAGTTAATAGCTCGCCTTTTTTTCGCGACAAGCAAGCCAGCGCCTTACACCAATCAATATGGACCTCGCTAAAGGTTTTAGCGGGAATAATACACGGTTTGATGGTTCCAAGCGAAGGGGAGTCGGGAGTGAAAAGTGTGGAGATTTGGTGGTCGTACAGACGAGCTTCGCAGCAAGTTCCTAAAAGCGCGACGGCGGCTTTGCTCGCAGCGACGACTCGAAAATCGGCAGCCGATAATACCAGCTGTGCGACCCCTAGCGACTCCTTGATAAACCGATGAATGTCGTTGTTACCCATTGTTAATTAATCGTCGACGACTATTTAATGTATTACTAGATCTGGGTCGCCTTCATGTTGAATGCTGGGCTCAGGGAAAACAACTACGTTGCAACGTCCCGAATAAGTCCCGTTCGGGTTCAATCCGAATCCCTACGACTTTTCGTGGGTCCTAGAAGGTCGTAGTATTCAATCAGCCTCAGCCGCGCCTTCCAGGCGAGTTCTACGTCCCTTCCTGCTCAAAGTTGGCGAAACGAAGCGACCGTCCGTTTCGCACAATTTCAAGGTAGCCCCATTACGTCGCCAATTGTGTTGTTTGGTCCAGAAGTTCAGTCTCCAAAGTTCGAATGTCGCGAGATGTTCTGTAGCAACGAGTCGCCAACTGATCGCGCACAGTCGCCAGTGTTGTTCTGTTCGATTTTTTTTTTTTGTGGTTACTGATCGCGCACAGTCGCCAACTTACCCAATCTATCGATTGCAATCGGTCGCAATCGATTGCATCAAATTGAGGCAATCGATCGCGATCGATCGCGATCTCGATTGCAATCGACAGATTGCCCCCGATTGCCCAAAAGTACCCCCTGGACCTTCACGGAAATTGTGGATTGCGTAGATCGAGGCAATCATCCTCAGATCGCCCCGATCTGCACCACGTCCTTATCAACAATGGCTGTGTACTATAAGGTTATATACATTGCATGTAAGGTTTCACAATGATTGTTCTGAAGGCATTAATAAAAGCAATCTAAAGATAGCAGCAGACGCCATGTGGAGGTCGTGTGGGGCAACAAACTCATCCGGGCGATGACTCACACCCCCTCGACATCTCACGAACAGCATCGCAACCTGCACTCAACAAGCATCCCACACCAGGGAAATACCGATATAAAAGAGAATAATAATGGAGACCGAAACAGTGTATGGTGACTGACTGATCAGACTGATCCTGGGTATTCACAAATCTGATAAGCACGACCATAAAGAAGACAACAGCTACACCTTTCACCCAAGCAATATCTGCCATACCCATGAAACCAGGTCCCCCAATCTCGCAAATTTATGCATTGGAACGACACACCTGGCTGCATCAGCAACTCCTATTGAGGCGCCTAAAAAACAGCTACACCTTTCACCAAAGCAATACCTGCCACACCCATGAAATCAGGTCCCAATGCGATTTCATGCATTTGAACGACACACCTGGCTGCATCAGCACCTTCACGCAAGGGTGTTCTGCCTGCATTAGTCACCAATTCTCTCTCCCTGCCCGCAATAAAACCCCTCCCCCCAAACCCCCGCCCCCACCTACCTCCTCGCCACCACCCCTCATCACTATTCCTTACCCGGGTGAGATAATTAGATTTGACACCGCCATGGCATCATGACCCGCCCTGCTGACAAGCCAACCCATCCCAACCCCCAACTTCCATTTGGAACGCGCGCTGTGAACACAAGTTCCAAGACTCACCCTCCTCCCGGTTTGAGATTCTCCAACTCATCCTAACACAGTTCCTCATTGCGTTCAAAATCCTTCTCTGGCGTAGGAAGAAACAATCAGTGAAAAAACAACGACGCTCAGCCGCTCGTATCAAGCTGGCCACTCAATTTCGCTTCCTCGTTTTTTACCATGACGGCACCCCTTCTATTCACCCTGACCTCCGCGCATCCTGGCTGCTCGATGACCCTTTTCGCCCCCCTTAGGCCTTCCTTTTTTTTAGCATAGAGAGCTCCCCAGCCGTGCTGGCAGGTTATCCGTAGGATATGGAGATAACGTGTTTCCTACGTACGCCTTTGGGCGTTTGGTTTGTGTAGACCATATCTCTAGCTTCTCTATGCTTTGCTGTACATGGTTACGACCTTAATATAACCTTAACCCAACCCCCAACTTCGTTCTACAAGAGGATATACCACTCGAACTTACGTTCTAACCTCAACACCCCTCAACACCCCTCACCATCCCTCACCACCCCTCACCACCCCTCACCACCCCTCACCACCCCTCACCAACCCTCGCCACCCCTCACCAACCCTCGCCACCCCTCACCACCCCTCATCACCATCCCTCACCTGGGTAAGGTCTGCAATCGCCATGGCATCATGTCCCGCCCCGCTGACAAGCCGAGGAACATGTCGCTCTTGCCGCCCGTGCCGCCCTTGCTCGCCTTGCCGCCCTTGCTCGCCTTGCCGCCTTTGTGCCCCACTCTCCCCCTCCCTGCACCCATCAGTCGCTTCACAACTATTCTTGCTGCCACCGCCGCCTGCTGCCGGTTGCGGCACATTGGAACCCAGCAGCAGCATCAGGTACAGTGACCGCAGCGTCACGTGCAGCAGCAGCAGCATCAAAACCAGAAACAGTGGTGATTGGACCGTGGTGTGAAGCAGTGAGCGCGCTGACTGCTGCCTGGTGTAGCATGGATACGAGGGGAGGCGAGCAGTCCACCGTGTCAGCTTGGTGCTGGAAGGAACGGGGAGGGGACAGAAGGAAAGAGACGAAAGGAACGAAAAAAGGGAAGCGGGTACGAGTGGGGTTTGAGGGAGCTGACTGCTGCCTGGTGTAGCATGGAGACGAGGGGAGGCATGCAGTCCACCGTGTTAGCTTGATGCTGGAGAGAGGGGAGGGGACGCAGGGAAGGCGACGGAGGGAAAAGGGAAGAACGGCAAGGCGACGGAGGGAAAAGGGAAGAACGGCAAGGCGACGGAGGGAAAAGGGAAGAACGGCGGCAAGGGGACGGAGGGAACAGGAAAGAACGGCAAGGGGACGGAGGGAACAGGCAAGAACGGCAAGGGGACGGAGGGAACAGGCAAGAACGGCAAGGCGACGGAGGGAACAGGCAAGAACGGCAAGGCGACGGAGGGAACAGGCAAGAGCGGCAAGGCGACGGAGGGAACAGGCAAGAGCGGCAAGGCGACGGAGGGAACAGGCAAGAGCGGCAAGGCGACGGAGGGAACAGGCAAGAGCGGCAAGGCAACGGAGGGAACAGGCAAGAGCGGCAAGGCGACGGAGGGAACAGGGAAGAAGGGAAGCAGTGAGCGCGCTGACTGCTGCCTGGTGTAGCATGGAGACGAGGGGAGGCGAGCAATCCACCGTGTCAGCTTGATGCTGGAGATGGCAGGAAGGGGATGCAGGAAAACGGGAGAAGGAGAAGGTAAGAAGAAGAAGGGATGACGGGCAGTGGAGAATGCCTCACGCAGTTGCTCGGTGGCCTCACACTTCCTCCCATTCCTATCACCACTCCAAATCCAACAGTACCCTGTGCACTGCACTCTACCTTCACTGCGAACCAGCACGACAGCCCTCGCATGCCGCAAATCCCCCAACCCCTCTCTCAATGTGTAGAGAGGTTATTTTTGAGACGTCTCAAAAATAACCTCTCTACACGTGGCTTTTGAGACGTCTCAAAAATAACCTCTCTACACGTGGCTTTTGAGACGTCTCAAAAATAACCTCTCTACACGTGGCTTTTGAGACGTCTCAAAAATAACCTCTCTACACGTGGCTTTTGAGACGTCTCAAATATAACCTCTCTACACGTGGCTTTTGAGACGTCTCAAATATAACCTCTCTACACGTGGCTTTTGAGACGTCTCAAATATAACCTCTCTACACGTGGCTTTTGAGACGTCTCAAATATAACCTCTCTACACGTGGCTTTTGAGACGTCTCAAAAATAACCTCTCTACACGTGGCTTTTGAGACGTCTCAAAAATAACCTCTCTACACGTGGCTTTTGAGACGTCTCAAATATAACCTCTCTACACGTGGCGTTTGAGACGTCTCAAATATAACCTCTCTACACGTGGCTTTTGAGACGTCTCAAATATAACCTCTCTACACGTGGCTTTTGAGACGTCTCAAATATAACCTCTCTACACGTGGCTTTTGAGACGTCTCAAAAATAACCTCTCTACACGTGGCTTTTGAGACGTCTCAAAAATAACCTCTCTACACGTGGCTTTTGAGACGTCTCAAATATAACCTCTCTACACGTGGCTTTTGAGACGTCTCAAATATAACCTCTCTACACGTGGCTTTTGAGACGTCTCAAAAATAACCTCTCTACACGTGGCTTTTGAGACGTCTCAAAAATAACCTCTCTACACGTGGCTTTTGAGACGTCTCAAAAATAACCTCTCTACACGTGGCTTTTGAGACGTCTCAAAAATAACCTCTCTACACGTGGCTTTTGAGACGTCTCAAAAATAACCTCTCTACACGTGGCTTTTGAGACGTCTCAAATATAACCTCTCTACACGTGGCTTTTGAGACGTCTCAAAAATAACCTCTCTACACGTGGCTTTTGAGACGTCTCAAATATAACCTCTCTACACGTGGCTTTTGAGACGTCTCAAATATAACCTCTCTACACGTGGCTTTTGAGACGTCTCAAATATAACCTCTCTACACGTGGCTTTTGAGACGTCTCAAATATAACCTCTCTACACGTGGCTTTTGAGACGTCTCAAAAATAACCTCTCTACACGTGGCTTTTGAGACGTCTCAAAAATAACCTCTCTACACGTGGCTTTTGAGACGTCTCAAATATAACCTCTCTACACGTGGCGTTTGAGACGTCTCAAATATAACCTCTCTACACGTGGCTTTTGAGACGTCTCAAATATAACCTCTCTACACGTGGCTTTTGAGACGTCTCAAATATAACCTCTCTACACGTGGCTTTTGAGACGTCTCAAAAATAACCTCTCTACACGTGGCTTTTGAGACGTCTCAAAAATAACCTCTCTACACGTGGCTTTTGAGACGTCTCAAATATAACCTCTCTACACGTGGCTTTTGAGACGTCTCAAATATAACCTCTCTACACGTGGCTTTTGAGACGTCTCAAAAATAACCTCTCTACACGTGGCTTTTGAGACGTCTCAAAAATAACCTCTCTACACGTGGCTTTTGAGACGTCTCAAAAATAACCTCTCTACACGTGGCTTTTGAGACGTCTCAAAAATAACCTCTCTACACGTGGCTTTTGAGACGTCTCAAAAATAACCTCTCTACACGTGGCTTTTGAGACGTCTCAAATATAACCTCTCTACACGTGGCTTTTGAGACGTCTCAAAAATAACCTCTCTACACGTGGCCTTTGAGACGTCTCAAAAATAACCTCTCTACACGTGGCTTTTGAGATGTCTCAAAAATAACCTCTCTACACGTGGCTTTTGAGACGTCTCAAAAATAACCTCTCTACACGTGGCTTTTGAGACGTCTCAAATATAACCTCTCTACACGTGGCTTTTGAGACGTCTCAAATATAACCTCTCTACACGTGGCTTTTGAGACGTCTCAAATATAACCTCTCTACACGTGGCTTTTGAGACGTCTCAAATATAACCTCTCTACACGTGGCTTTTGAGACGTCTCAAATATAACCTCTCTACACGTGGCTTTTGAGACGTCTCAAAAATAACCTCTCTACACGTGGCTTTTGAGACGTCTCAAAAATAACCTCTCTACACGTGGCTTTTGAGACGTCTCAAAAATAACCTCTCTACACGTGGCTTTTGAGACGTCTCAAATATAACCTCTCTACACGTGGCTTTTGAGACGTCTCAAATATAACCTCTCTACACGTGGCTTTTGAGACGTCTCAAATATAACCTCTCTACACGTGGCTTTTGAGACGTCTCAAAAATAACCTCTCTACACGTGGCTTTTGAGACGTCTCAAAAATAACCTCTCTACACGTGGCTTTTGAGACGTCTCAAAAATAACCTCTCTACACGTGGCTTTTGAGACGTCTCAAAAATAACCTCTCTACACGTGGCTTTTGAGACGTCTCAAAAATAACCTCTCTACACGTGGCTTTTGAGACGTCTCAAAAATAACCTCTCTACACGTGGCTTTTGAGACGTCTCAAATATAACCTCTCTACACGTGGCTTTTGAGACGTCTCAAATATAACCTCTCTACACGTGGCTTTTGAGACGTCTCAAATATAACCTCTCTACACGTGGCTTTTGAGACGTCTCAAATATAACCTCTCTACACGTGGCTTTTGAGACGTCTCAAAAATAACCTCTCTACACGTGGCCTTTGAGACGTCTCAAAAATAACCTCTCTACACGTGGCTTTTGAGATGTCTCAAAAATAACCTCTCTACACGTGGCTTTTGAGACGTCTCAAAAATAACCTCTCTACACGTGGCTTTTGAGACGTCTCAAAAATAACCTCTCTACACGTGGCTTTTGAGACGTCTCAAATATAACCTCTCTACACGTGGCTTTTGAGACGTCTCAAATATAACCTCTCTACACGTGGCTTTTGAGACGTCTCAAATATAACCTCTCTACACGTGGCTTTTGAGACGTCTCAAAAATAACCTCTCTACACGTGGCTTTTGAGACGTCTCAAAAATAACCTCTCTACACGTGGCTTTTGAGACGTCTCAAATATAACCTCTCTACACGTGGCTTTTGAGACGTCTCAAATATAACCTCTCTACACGTGGCTTTTGAGACGTCTCAAATATAACCTCTCTACACGTGGCTTTTGAGACGTCTCAAATATAACCTCTCTACACGTGGCTTTTGAGACGTCTCAAAAATAACCTCTCTACACGTGGCTTTTGAGACGTCTCAAATATAACCTCTCTACACGTGGCTTTTGAGACGTCTCAAATATAACCTCTCTACACGTGGCTTTTGAGACGTCTCAAATATAACCTCTCTACACGTGGCTTTTGAGACGTCTCAAATATAACCTCTCTACACGTGGCTTTTGAGACGTCTCAAATATAACCTCTCTACACGTGGCTTTTGAGACGTCTCATATATAACCTCTCTACACGTGGCTTTTGAGACGTCTCAAATATAACCTCTCTACACGTGGCTTTTGAGACGTCTCAAATATAACCTCTCTACACGTGGCTTTTGAGACGTCTCAAATATAACCTCTCTACACGTGGCTTTTGAGACGTCTCAAATATAACCTCTCTACACGTGGCTTTTGAGACGTCTCAAAAATAACCTCTCTACACGTGGCTTTTGAGACGTCTCAAAAATAACCTCTCTACACGTGGCTTTTGAGACGTCTCAAATATAACCTCTCTACACGTGGCTTTTGAGACGTCTCAAATATAACCTCTCTACACGTGGCTTTTGAGACGTCTCAAAAATAACCTCTCTACACATGGCTTTTGAGACGTCTCAAATATAACCTCTCTACACGTGGCTTTTGAGACGTCTCAAATATAACCTCTCTACACGTGGCTTTTGAGACGTCTCAAAAACAACCTCTCTACACGTGGCTTTTGAGACGTCTCAAAAATAACCTCTCTACACGTGGCTTTTGAGACGTCTCAAAAATAACCTCTCTACACGTGGCTTTTGAGACGTCTCAAAAATAACCTCTCTACACGTGGCTTTTGAGACGTCTCAAATATAACCTCTCTACGCGTGGCTTTTGAGACGTCTCAAATATAACCTCTCTACACGTGGCTTTTGAGACGTCTCAAATATAACCTCTCTACACGTGGCTTTTGAGACGTCTCAAATATAACCTCTCTACACGTGGCTTTTGAGACGTCTCAAATATAACCTCTCTACACGTGGCTTTTGAGACGTCTCAAAAATAACCTCTCTACACGTGGCTTTTGAGACGTCTCAAATATAACCTCTCTACACGTGGCTTTTGAGACGTCTCAAATATAACCTCTCTACACGTGGCTTTTGAGACGTCTCAAAAATAACCTCTCTACGCGTGGCTTTTGAGACGTCTCAAAAATAACCTCTCTACACGTGGCTTTTGAGACGTCTCAAAAATAACCTCTCTACGCGTGGCTTTTGAGACGTCTCAAAAATAACCTCTCTACGCGTGGCTTTTGAGACGTCTCAAATATAACCTCTCTACACGTGGCTTTTGAGACGTCTCAAATATAACCTCTCTACACATGGCTTTTGAGACGTCTCAAATATAACCTCTCTACACGTGGCTTTTGAGACGTCTCAAATATAACCTCTCTACACGTGGCTTTTGAGACGTCTCAAATATAACCTCTCTACACGTGGCTTTTGAGACGTCTCAAATATAACCTCTCTACACGT